AGTTTGTTATCACAAATGAATGGACGAACAAACAAACAAAAACAAACAAACATGTAAACAAAAATTAAACACTGAGAAGTCTTTAGAGGCTTTGAGAGAGGTGAGATTGAATTAGCTGCTTAGCTCTGGTTGTTTTAACTAGGGCTTCCTAGCTAATTAAGGTAGATAAGAACGTTTAGTTTACCAAATCTCCTACAAAGATAAAGATCAAATCTAGGTCTGAGCACCTATGTTTAACCAAGACAAGTGTTCACCGTTTTCCTTTGTGTTCTGCCGTGTGGGTACCAGGAGTAGTTGGTCAGCTGTGGGGGGGCCGTCTCTGGAGCTTGGTTCTCCAGACAGCTCTCCATGTGAACTAGACGTCAGGCGGTCGGCCTGGTTGACTCGACTGGTCCCATGGGTCAGAAAGGAGTCCTTCCTCTGGTGACTTGGTCTGGCTGTCCACAAGTGGCTTCAAGACTCAATTTGATTCTCACTTTGTAGAAAAACGGACTAACGACGGTTGAATTACCATTAGCTTATTTGACTCCTTTAAAAATCAAAACTCAAAGCTTGAGTCGAAGTTAGATGGTCGGCCTGTTATGAGTCAAAATGGCGGAGATTGAATGACCCCCCCCCCCCTTTTCAAGAGGGGGTCTTTCAACTTAGAAACTGCTCCTCTGTCTGCGTTCTGCTTCCTTCTTCTGTTGCTGACCCGGGGTCTTCTGCGTGTACTAACTTTTAAAACCTCTGTTGTGGGCGGAGTCAAGGTTTTTAGTTAGCCAATTGAAAACTTTGGTAAAGTTTTTAACCAATCAAAATGTTTGGAGGGAAAAACAAGGTTTTTCAGACAAAGAACGGGAGTGTTTTAGTCTAATTATCTTGCATCTAATTAAAGGGAAAGGCATCTGCTTTACATCAGTTCAAATAAGAATGTCTATCTAGTTAAATTCAAGCCTAAAGTTTAAAGATTAACTCATGTAACCACACAGTTTAAAGAAACATCTTTTTTTGAAAACATTTCATCAATAAACACACAAAGTTAGAACAAAGTTAACTAAGCAAAACTTAATAGATCCTTTATGATCTTTTTAGTTCTCTGCTGTAAGAAAAATGGTTATTTGACATTCTTTTCAATAAGGCAGAAAAAACATTAGATACAGATTCCTTCATCTTTCCTCTTTTTTTCACATTTTAATGAAGMATGTGGGTCCTTTGTTCTCAGTCATGCTGGAAGGTTCTGGCAAAGCAATTGTTAACACCAACCCCCTTTTCCTTGGAAGAAAGTGAAAAGGCTTGTCCTTACGGGGGTTGGGGCAGGAAGGTGACAATGCGAATACTTTCATGGTCTTCTGAGGCGCCATGGTGACGGTATGCTAATTTGAAGCACAAAGGGTCATGCAAGATGCTTTAACAGAAGTCTGAAAAATATATCTATCTTTCACCAAACAGTCATAATAAGTTGTGTCCATCAGAAGACATAAATTGAGGTAGGAAACCACTACAGCATCCTGCATTTTGTTTCATCACATTTCACAGTTTATTTCTACAGCTGATAACTTTAGAGCTCAACACAATTCAAGATGGCTTCCACAGCCAGCTGACCACATCCAACACAAACATGTTCATAAGTCAGGTTTTAAAGCTACTGAGCCAAACTTTGGTGTGGTGTGTTCTGAGTTCATTAGACCTTAGTTAAACATTTTACCTGTTGTCTGTTAGCAATAAAGTTTGGAGCCCAGGAAGAGAAGTCTCAGCTGCAGTGGAGACTAATGGGGATTCTTTAAATAAACTAACAACAAACCACTGAACAGAATTTAGTTTTAGTTTCAGAAAAGAACCATTAAGTTGACATCTACAGATGTTTACCTTTTGGACCCAGATCAGTCTAAATGACGAGTCAATATGGTGTAAATTAGTAGTATTTAAGTGTCCTGATGCATCTCAGTAATCCAGGTAAAAAATCAAAAATAAAAAAATAGTATAGGTCTTCTGGACGGGTTCTTCTTTAATGAAACGTTTCGTCTCTCCTCCAAGAGACTTCTTCAGTCTGAGAGTTTCAGGCTAAATTCAGGCTTTTAAGTCCTGCCTCCATGTGACTGATACTCACATCACATGGCTATCATTGACACCTAATTAACACCTATTGTTAACAGGGGTGGAGTGATACTGCCAATAGCAGCGCTGTAGGAGGGGGACAGCTGAAAACGGAGGCCTCCACCTCTGTTTAATGATGGACGGTCTTTCTTTACAAAAATGGCTTCTTTTACTCCTCTCTCAAACCAACGTTCCTCTCTATCAAGAATGAGAACATCCTCATCTCTGAAAGAGTGACCGCTGGCCTGTAAATGAGTGTAAACTGCAGAGTTCTGGCCTGTAAATGAGTGTAAACTGTAGAGTCCTGGCCTGTAGATGAGTGTAAACTGCAGAGTTCTGGCCATTAGATGTAGCTCGTCTGTGTTGGGACATTCTTTTGAACAGTGGTTGCTTTGTTTCCCCGATGTATAAGTGGTCGCAGTCCTCCTGGCACTTAACAGCATATACAACATTGCTCTGTTTGTGCCGGGGCACCGGATCTTTGGGGTGAACCAGCCTYTGCCGTAATGTGTTTTGGGGTTTGAAAGCCACTGGGACATCATGTTTAGAAAATAAACGTCTCAGTTTCTCAGAAACACCCGCAACATACGGAATAACCACTGGTTTGGGTCTGGGTTTGGGGTCTTCATTTTCACCTGAAGGTTGCATGGAATCCTGTCTGTGTTTCCTGTCTGCTTTCAGGAAAGCCCAGTCAGGATAACCACACTGCTCCAGGGCCTGTCVTGTGTGTGATTTCTCTTTCTSCCTGGCTCCTGGGTTTGTAGGGACACTGTCTGCTCTGTGGTACAGAGTCCTGATCACTCCTAACTTGTGTTCCAGTGGGTGTCAAGTCAAGTCAAGTCGCCTCACTCAGCTAGTTGACATTAGGCATTTTTTAAGTRTCCTTCCCAACACATACTTTGAGCTTCACACATTTTAGGAAGCTTAGCTCGTGTAAACATTGTTTTTGAYATCGAAGTTTCATTTTTTATCACAGTAAAAGAAAGAATGGGCTCTTTTGTGAGCCTGCTGTGGGAAGGTTTATCTGAACATCTTGTACTCTAACTTTAAATTTCTCAAAATTCCATTTTTTCCACGTCTTGACCAAGTTGTTTATTAAATGTTTGGTAAATAAAATGTGTTTGGTCCTTCAGGTGCTGCTGACTCTGCCCCCAGCTGCCAGGCAGGATTATTTCCCCTTGCTGTCCAAGCCCATGCTGATGTTGGAGCAGCTGCTGATGAACCTGAAGGTGGAGTGGGCCGAGGTGGCCGTGCAGACGTTGAGGAGCTTGCTGGTCGGTCAGGAGGCCGGCTTCAATGCTGAGGATGTAGATAAGCTCCTGGCAGACTACGCTCGTAAAGCCCTGGACTTCTCCTGCGCTCCCAGAGAGAGGACTCGGTCCGGTCAGTACAGACTGTCAGACACATGGACACTGACTTTTAGGTTTTATTAAATAATAGTTTGGTTTGAAGGAAAGTAAAATATTCAGTGTGCCTAAGCAATAAAACAGGTTAAACAGTCCTGCAGTAATGTTGCTGTGTGTGTTTTTGTTTAACTCTAGCTTTAGTAATGAACCACTGACTGTACTTTAATTAAACTCTCAGTAATCACTGACTGTTAAATTACAACTGATTAACTTTGGAGTCTCAGCTAGTTGACATTAGGAAACTCACGAGGCTGTAGCTCAGCTACTTTTACAGATAATGAGCTACAGTATGGTGTGGCAGGAGCTWATAATCAGGGTTTCACATACTGAGTGCTAGCTTATTTTACAGTCTTTTTRTCTTTAAACTTGGGCATTAATGGTTAAAATCACCCTGGTCAGTCTGGCAGGAAACTATCTCTTGAATCACTGAGCAGATCAGAGTGAAACTCTCAGAAAATCATCTGCTACTCAGTCCTAAAACCTTTCTTTTATCAGTTTATTTTTGTTGATCTTRGTTTAAAGCTGGCATGAAAGCTGCACCTGTTTTCCACGTATCCTTTTTTCCCAGCATTTTCTCCAGAAAACAAGTTATGCTTTTTGTGTGCATCAGGGTTAGGGTGTGCAGAAAATGACTGCTCTTGGCTTCTGTACGATCATCCTGCAGTCCTTTAAGAAATGCTTTTCTTTTAAAAAGGATGACTTTGTTTTCCAGACTCAGTCATCAGCCTGCAGGATACACTGCTTCAGTGCCCCGCTCAGGACAGCAGCTCTTCGTCCAGCCGGGTGGACTCTCCAGCATCATCCAGCAGTGAGACGTCTGCTCATGTTTGAGAAGTTCGTCTTTGTTTTTTACCCTCATGTTTCTTTTGCTTCGTTGATTCACAGACAACACACCTACACATTCTGCAACTAGCTCCGACAGGGAGAGAGATCTGAACTCCTCAGGACGAAGACGCCGCTCCTCTGCCAAGTTCCAGCCTCCGGACCAAGTCCCGGCCCAGAAAGACTGGGTCCCTGACACCCAGCATGACGTGTGCATGGTGTGTCAGCGTGAGAGGTTCACTATGGTGAGTTAACAACAGCTTCATGTTCTCACAAACACAAAGAGTTATTGTAGCTGTGCAAAATTCACTTCATCTTGTTTTAATAGCACCAACTTCCAACAACAGTCAACCTCCAACAGAACCAGAACCAGAACCAGCTGCCCCACTGACCGGGCTTGGACAGAAGTATAGAAACTTTTTCCTAATTAAATGAAAAAATAGTCACCATACATAACAAAGCTTATAAATACTGGTTATTTACCTAATATATACACTGTACTTACTGAGTTTGTGTACCAAGTACTTACCAGATACATACTGTGTACTTATACCAGACTGTATTATGTGTTGCTACCAAATAATTAGGTTTTCATTGTTTGAAGATGTTCTGCACAAACTACAAACCACAAAATGTTTCACTGCAGACATGTTAAAAGTTTAAATAAGAGAAATAAATTTAAATAAGTGCCTTTTGTAATTAACGAGTCAGCATCTTGTGACACGAGATCTCACGAGACTGAACAGACATAAATCCTGTAACTGTTTCTCAAACCCAGAAATGTCCATGTCATGGTTCAGGAGAAGTCACAGAGCTGAGTTTGTGTTAAAACTGTGTTTTTAAAGGTTTAGTTGAACTTTTGTCCAGGATCCTGTCATCCTGACTTGTAGGATGTGTGTCTCTTYACTGCTGCACATGGTGTGTTCTGTTGGAGGCTTTCATCCCACACTCTGTTTTATGTGATATTTATTTCATCAGTTTCTGCTGGGAACATGTAGTTCATTGTGTTAACTCTGTAATAATGATTAAAATCTGGTTTTTGCTCAGTTCAACAGACGGCACCACTGTCGCAGATGTGGCCGTCTGGTGTGCAGTGCGTGTTCAGAGTGGAAGATGTGTGTTGATGGGTGTCCAGGAGAAGTGAGAGTGTGTGACCAGTGTTACACCTTCTTTCACCCAGAGTAAGACCTGCTTCTGTCTTACAGCACCACTCACATTTGGTTTTTCATTTGTTCAGGACTTCTACTTCTATATTTATTCTGTGTTTCTGTGGTTCTGACCCACTGAGYGTTGTCAGAAAACCCTGTGCAGGCAGTGTTACTGTAGAGGCTTCAGCTTTCATCTCAGAAAGATGAATTTAATAAACGTCTGATGTTCAGGCTCCTGYAATACTTTTATAAATTAAGCCTGATCTGTTCTTTCCCACAACGTTTACATCGTATCAACCAGAAACCAGACATGTACAACCTGAGTTTAGATCAGTTGACACTTAAATTGCCCTCGGGGGGGGGGGGGGGGGGGGGGG